CTTTAGAATCCAACTACAGGTAAGTCCTCAATTTACAACCATTCATTTATTGACTGCTTGAAGTTACAACAGCACTGACAAAAGTGACTTGTGACTTCATTTCACACTTATGACCGTTGCAACATCCCCATGGTCACATGATCAAAATTAGGACGCTTGGCAACTGGAATGTATTTATGATAATTGCAACGTGCCGGGATCATATGATCACCTTTTGCAACCTTCTCAGAAGCAAGTCATTTGGGAGGCCAGATTCACTTAGCAACTGTGTCACTAACTTATCAATGGCAGTGATTCACTTAACAACTATGGCAAGAAAGGTCACAAAATGGGGCAAAACTCACTTAACAACTGTTTTGCTTAACAACGGAAATGTTTGGCTCAATTGTGGTTGTGTATCAAGGACTACCTACAAAAGGACTGGTTCTTGGAAAAATGAATAACTTGGGAATAGACACCATATCTCTATCTATCTTCGTATTGTTTATATATAATTGGATTTAATATTTAGATACAGATATAATATTGGTTCTTGGGATGTGAAGAGAACAATAGCACATAAAGCCTCCAATAAAAAGTAAAACAGGGCAGAAGGGCTGAGATGGTAGCCAAAGTTAAAATCATAATCTGGCAGAAATTGTTTAAATGTACATGAAACTGATTCAAAAAGGACACAATCCAGTTCTACAATCAGGATAGAATAATCTAAGTGGCCTTGGTGAAGGAATTAATTGAGCTTTCTGACGTAAAGTGTATCACAGATAAATAGTATTCTGTTCACTGCAGTGATAACTGATACAAATGTATTTTTATTACATTAACATGTAAATATGAGCATTCTGGAATTAGCACGATATGTCTCTGGATGTTCATTTTAAGTAAATTCATCTTTTTTTTTAACAAAACAAAGTGAGGAAAAAATAAACAAGCAGATAGAGAAGGCCTATAAGTTTAAAATGTATCAATAATTTTTACTGTTAACCTTGAAGTATTTCTGAGAAATATTTCTCGATTTTTAAAAAATAATCGTACAAATACCGCAACAATCATATGAATGAGAAAATATACAGCTGTTTTTTTAGTGGACTGTTATTTTGGGATGCACTGAACTATTCCATTATAAGTATATTCCAAGTAGAAATAATAAAAGCAAAAAAGAACAATCACTGGGAATTTCCTACACATTTTAATTAATACTTTTATTTTAGTATGAGAATTATAAATACACAGATATTTCAGGAATGTTAATGGAACAATACTGGCCCTGGATTTGATTACGATCAATTTTAGATTAACTAAAAAGAAGTTAAATGACTATAGGGCAGTCTCATGATGTTTACAGTACTTGTAATTGTTAGAGAGATTATCCACTAACTCAGTTGATGAAATTTGAACTAGTTTGTTCTAAGAATATACAAAAGCTTCTAAGGTTTAAGAGATCAAATTTATAGCTGTTGCTCTCGAACATTTATTGAAGAGAATCTCAGACTGAATGACACTTGCAGATCTCAGTAACAAAGTACAAAGTAAAGTAAATCAATTGTAGACGTTAAATAAGATGTGAAAAATATCAGTGTTGTTTCTCTTCTTTAAATGCACACATTTTCAAACAATTCAATTTTTTATTTTTTATTAAAAATCAGTAGCTGAAAAATTTTAAGATAGGGCAGAGATAACTGTAAACACTTAACTATGTGCTGCCATCAATTTCTGCCATGCAACCTTATGAACAAACACCTCATGTAGATAGAGAGATCGCAAGGCATTTTAAAATTCTATTTCCCAACTTACAAACTGTCAAAGATATTACACAGAGGGCAAAAATGCAGCTCAGTCTGGCTTCACGCAGTGAGGAATAAACTGTACCAGAGGAATGAAGTCTTGCCAGTGTAGAGGAACAATAGTTTTTCTAATCCTATTGAATTTCTTATGAATTTAATTTTTTAAAAATTTATCTGATCCATTACATTCAAAGGGTTGAAGTCCTATGGCTCATTCTTACACCTTCATCTGCAGTGTTAAGTCAACTCCCTTGTAAACTGCTTTTATTTTTATTTTCTAGTCTACCTTTTTTTTTTTTTACTGGGCATCAAATCTAGCTGGATAACCAGGAACAACCGTGCTCACCAAACAGCATTAGCATTGAGATACTGTATTTTCATTTTCTTCTGAAAATTTGCTAACTTTCACAATATACAAGCAACTGCTGAAATTGATGCAAGTTTTATATTTGACTTTAATGGAGGAAGAATCACTTTTTATGGAAAATAATGCAATTATGCTTTTAATACTAAGTACTTCTCTGTGAACACTGTAACTAAACTGGTGTATTTCATTTAATATTATTAATATTATTAAATTTTTATTAAGTGATTCATATAACAGTGGTTATATGTGTACTGTGCATATGCATAAACATTTATTATAAATATTGTTCCCAGGAATTTTAGATACAACACTTTAAATAACATACACTTGTTCAGATATTTTCATTAAAAACAAAATAATGGGCTGCTTCTCAAACTTTCATGCTCAGCAACACATTCTCATACCCAGAGTTGTAGTCTGTTGCATTAATAATGGTTGGGTTTTTGTTTTAATCTGCATTGATAACTAATAGCTGGAAAGTGCTCAGATCAGCTACTTTAAATTTATTCATTAGAACAGTGCAGGAAGAGCTTTTCAAGAGTTAAAATGTGAATATAGCAATGAAATAGTGCCTTCTAGAGGACACTGAGCTTAAGAGTACTTGCACACATCAAAGTCACACTAGAATAAAACTATAAAATTGTGGAAGTAGATATTATGAGTAGATTTCACCAATTTACAGAGAAAATTGTTTCTGGGTATTATTTAGCCATAAAAATATCCAACTTTACATTCATACACACATCTCTTTTGTTACTTTAAAATAGAGAGTACAGCAGCCATTTTTGTTAGATGTGACAGAAAAGTTGATTCCTACAAAATATAAGGAACAAAACTATGTATGCTTTAGCAGAACTTGAGATTGGGAAGAAAGTTAATATGCTAGCTGTTCAATGAATATACAGTCAGGAGTTTCTCATATGGATCAGAAAAATAAGGGGTTCCAGATTATGAGTCGGTGGTGTCCATCTGCTGTTGGATTAGCATTTGTCATGGGAGCAGATAATGGTGGCTATGGTGATGATGATGATTTATCCTGCATCTTACCCATAAACTTCCCCAACTGGCTTCAGAAAGTCGCCTCGTGCAGGGAGGAGTAGCAGATGTCTATTAAAAGAGAGTATATGAAGCTCGGAGCTGCTCTGTTGAACTGTCATAATATTACTAGTCAGGCAATGAAATGTCTACAAACAAGGAAGCTCAGAGAGCACCAAGGACTCCAGATGTCCATTAGCATAAGGTTGGATGTAATTCATCCTCTACTTGTTTTCAAATAGCACTAGCCCCACTGCTCTATTTACCGTAGCAGCAGCTATGAATTAAGAAACATTTTGTCATATTAAAAAAGGTTAGCAATAGCAAATTCTTCATTAGGGGGGAAAAAGTACAATTAAACAAAAAACAACAACACCCCACCATTCAAAACAAATTGAACAACAACAACAACAACAACAACAACCCATTTGCAGTTTAAAGCTAGCATTGGCTGGTTTAAGCATGCATCTCAGCTAATTCTGTCCAAGTTTGGTTTGCTAAATTAGTTAGAACAGCATTTGCCCAATTTTTCCCCTGTATCAGCATCCCCAATAGATTGTGTTGTTAGTGTCATTTAACAAAGTTGCTACTTGCCTGTACTTTAGCGTTCAGCTGAAGTACTTTTAAAACAAAGAATATGTTTCCTGAGTGATCCCATATGTGCATGTGGAGCTCTGCTCAGCTTGACACTTTGTTCCTCCCACATCCAATACTGTCTGTGGACCCTTTTTAAGCCTCATGATCCTAGGACTCATAAAAAGAGCCCACAATAAAATAGTGTCTATAAAAACGTTCGTTCAAAACGGAAAAGCCTGGTTCTGCTCATAGGCCTCTTTGTGTGTAAAACCAATTTATGATTAACAGCGCTTGAGGTCTTTTTTAAAAAAAACAAAAACCTTGGAATTGACAGAACTCTGATAATCATCTCCTTCAAAAGGTTTAACTATTGGCTTGCCGCAGTCAAGGGCACTGTCCAAGTAGTGGAATGAGCAGAAAGATACCCACAGTTATTTTGAAAATTATATATTTTATGGTGCAGTTGTTGCCAGCAATCTGGCATAGCCCATTCATATTCAGCAGAGAAAAGGAGATAAGAATTGAAAAAGAACTCAAAAACGTTACTGCCCATAGAGCTGCACTCTGATTACAGGACATGAAATTGCCAGTTTCCCTGGAATATTGCTGCAGAAATGACATTCTTGCTAATTTGCAACAGTGATATAATGCACTTTATTAAGTAAAAAGGAAAAGTTGTGATGCGATATGATTTTTTGCACATGAAGCTGAAGCCAACATATTTTGTTTTCTCAATTCTTTTGTATCTTGCATTTCTGGAATTCCCTCCCGTAACGAGTTGTGCTCCTGGAAGACCCGTTGAGAATGTAGTATCTTTCTTTTAAAGCTTTTGTGACTTTAAAAAAACCTTTCTGCTTTATTTGCTATATGCTTCTCTGCTATAGCGTCAGAATTGCTTTGTCAGTAGATGATGTAACTCCACAGTTACTTCATACTTTGGAAAGCAGCTGACACTATCTAGCCTACCGTGAATAATATTCAGCTTGCGCAACATTTAAATGAATTTCTGTCCATTTGATAAGATCACCTTAGGTTTAATGCTAGAGTAAATGTCCAATGACTTGCTTGCATTTGGACTCTTTTATAAACAGAGTATTTTGGGAGCTATAATTCAGGCTGTCAAAGGCATTTTGTAATGCAAACATGGTAATAGTCATATTCCAAGTGCATGGGGTTTTCCTAGAAAATGTTTGAATATCAACGAAGGAGTACTTTTTAAAAGAGTAATAGAAGACTATTGTTTAATCTAATTTTCCCTGGTCAAGTTTTGTAGACCACACAACAAGATGTTCGACTTCATCTTCCCATTGTTCTTCATTTTTGCTTTTGTCTATCTTCTTAGGTTCCACAGAAGATGTTTTTGAAGGTTCTAGAAAGTAGAAGTAATACAAAATGAAAAACATAAATACATGAACTATAGTAACAGTACAATCATAGGGACACACAATACATTAAACTGTGTATCTGTGAATGCGGATGTGAGTGTGAGGGAGGCCTTTTTGTAGCATGTGCAAGATTTATCCTATAAAGAAGTAAGTTTGTATATTAGCATTTATAGCCAAGTGATATAGCTAACAATTAGAAAATGAATGTATGTGTTCCCTCACCCTATTTCCAGGGGTGGGATTCTATTGGTTCTGTCCGGCTCCGTAGAACTGGTAGCTCTGAAGAGCAGCAGATATAGAATCGGTTCTATGTCTGCTGCTGTTTTGGCCTGCCCGCCCGGGCTCTTACCTGACCTTTATTTCCTGGTTTTTCAACCTCAGCTGCCTTGCGAGGCACAGCTGCAGTTGAGAAAGTAGGAAAAAGGTGCTTTTTCAAATGCTGCTTCCCTGCATGTAGCGCTGCTCAGCTGTCCAGGCAGCAAGCTGACAAAGATTTACACGCGTGCGCAGCATGCAGGGAAGCAAATCGTAAATCACCGAACCGGTAGTTAACCCGTTGGATCCCACCCCTGCCTATTTCTAAAAGTTTCCAAGACCCCAAGATCACACTGAAATCTGATTTAAAAATGGTAAGTTTTGATGACATAATATGCTGCTTTTAAAATAAAATATCTCATCAAATAAGTACATTGGTAGACATAATACAGTAACACTTTTTGGAATAAATAAAATAAAACTGTAGTCCAAATCCCAACATTTTCTCCCAAGAGGGAGTAAAACCATGGCCACATTTTCTGCTCTAGTGATGAGTCCTACATGTTTTGCAGCTTTCTGTCCCATGACTAGATAAATAAAAAAACAGAACCCCCAGACTGAAAGACCACTGTATTTTTGATACATTATTTTATATTCTTAAGGCAGTCCTAAAAATCATCAGGGAGAATTTTAATGACTTCACAAAGGTTAATTATTCCTGCATATTTAGTTTCAGCAATAAAAATCATCAGTAAAAGAAATTACTGATCTATTAAATTATATTGACATTTAGTTGCATACTTGGCTTAGATAACATATAACACCTGTATTTCTGCAATACGCCCTACCTTAGTTGAGTACCCAGAAACCATCAGTGATATTTGTGGGTGTCAAAAAAAATCAAAATGGTAATTATGCCATTTTAATTAATTAATTAATTAATTAATCAGAACAGAGCTGGAAGGGACCTTGGCGGTCTTCTAGTCCAACCCCTTGCTCAAGCAGGAGACACTATGCCATTTCAAACAAGTGACTGTCTTCTTAAAAACCTCCAGTGATGAAGCACCAACAACTTCTCACAGCAATTGGTTAATTGTCCTCACTGTTAAGAAGTTTCTCTTTAATTCCAGGTTGCTTCTCTCCTTGATTAGTCTCCATCCATCGTTTCTTGTCCTGTCTACAGGTGCTTTGGTAAATAAGTTGACACCCTCCTCTTTGTGGCAACCTCTCAAACACTGGAATGCTGCTATCATGTAACCCCTAATACTCCTATCATGTCACCTCTGTACTGCTATCATGTCATTTGATGCAGCTCTCAGGTTGACCTATCCCACCGCAATCCTGGAAGCAGGGGTGGGATTAAATTTTTTAACAACCATTCTGTGGGCGTGGCTTAGGTGGTGGGCATGGCTTGGTGGTCATGTGACTGAGTGGACATGGCTTGGTGGTCATGTTATTGGCTGGGTGTGTCCAACTCAATATCACCCACATCGAGGCATGCATCTCCTCGCCTGGCCCCTCATGACTGTGGGGATGCTGCAACAGTCGTAAGTGTGAAAAATGGCCATAAGTCACTTTTTTCAGTGCCATTGTAACTTTGAGTGGTCAGTCCACACAAGCAAAGTACCAGCAAAGGAGGGGGAAAAAACTCCAGAGACGTTCCTGAGACAGGAAGTCTAGTCCTGCCAAGAAGGTAATAAGGGTTAACGGAGAGACAGTTTCTGTAAGCAACACCAGAATGTTTCCTTCCTGCCTTCCTTACAGGATTAGGCCAGTAATTTCTTCTAACAATTGGTTCTCCGAACTGCTTAGAAAGTTAACAACCAGTTCTAGTGAATAGGTACGAACTAGTAGAATCCCACCCCTGCCTGGAAGCCCCTGGAAGTGACATTTAGCCTAACAAGTTGTAAATGTCTATTAACCCCACCCTTCTATCTTTCCGCAAAAGCCTAAAGACCTGGCTCTGCTGATTGGCCTCCAGACCAAATGGGGAAGTTCTACACTGGACATGCAGCTAGATTGATGGCAGATTCCACATCACCCGTCTTTCTCTCCGCTCTCCACCCACTGATCCTTTTGGTTATCATATTGATGTATTTAATTTCATTGTGTTCCTTTATCACTGATTATTTTATTCTTCTAACATTTTACTTATGTTTACATGCCTATCATGTTTCTTCCTTTTTATAATTATAAACCACCTACAGTATCACTAGGGTGAGATAAATGGCAAATAAATTTAACAAAGAAATAAATAAACTAAATAAACATGGACCATTTCTTTTCCTGCTCAGCTCAAAGGGGGTCATACTTTCACAGCATGATTTCTAAAAGGTATTTCCCCCTGAATCTGCCTGTTTAATCTCTTTCCTGAGGTTCTACTATTCCAGAAATTCTGCTACCTGGGTTCAGTCAGGGCTTTCCCAGGGACTGGGATCGTGTAGAAAGAGGAATGGTCAAATAGTAAATGGTGACTTTCTTTCTCAAATGAATTTACTTTCCACAGATATCATTATTTTATCTTCATTATATTGCTGCCCATTAGTGGGATTCAATTTTTTTTACTACCAGTTCTGTGGGCGTGGCTTGGTGGGCATGGCAGGGGAAGGACACTGTAAAATCTCCAGTCAGAGGTGGTATTTGCCAGTTCTCCGAACTACTCAAAATTTCCACTACCGGTTCTCCAGAACTGGTGAGAACCTGCTAAATACCACCTCTGTTGCTGCTTTAACATCTATCATTGTAAAGGTATGTTTTTCAATGATCACAGTATTGTTTTAACTGATGCTGTTGGTTACCCTGAGCTCACTGGATGGAAAATGCATTATTAAATTGCACCTAAATAAATTTTTATAGGTACTGTATATGATATAAAATAGGGTAAAGAGCAGGGGTGGGATTCAACCGGCATTACTACTGGTTTGGTATTTGTGTTTTGCGCACACATGTGCGCTTTGCACGCACGCGTGCCAGATGCGCGCTGTGCGTGTGTGTACTACATCATTAGCTGAGCCACTGGGACAGCTGATAAGCGCTGTACATGGGTGTGCAGCATTTCAAAAAGCACTTTACTGCTTTTTCAACCTTAGCTGTGTCACGCAAAGCAGCTGAGGTTGAAAAAGCAGGAAACAAAGGTTAGGTAAGAGCCTGGGCAGGCGGGTGGGCCAAACAGCAGCAGACACAGAACTGGTTCTGTGTCTGCTGCTCTTCAGAGCTACCGGTTCTACAGAGGTGGACAGAACCGGTAGCATCCCACCCCTGGTAAAGAGTATGATACTCTTGCTCTTCTTGATTTACAGGTAGTCCTCAACTTACAACAGTTCACTTAGTACAACAGTACTGAAAAAAGTGACTTATGACCATTTTTCACACTAGTTATCAAGTTATCATTCAAACTGTATTTTTCATTTTTACAATAACAAACAATTTTTCCATACATGGAAACACACAAGCATACAAAAAATGATACACAAAATGGTAGGATGATGGGTGGGCTTCCTGCTCCCCCAAAAATAGAATATGAAAAGATGAGTTTTTTCCATGAGTTCCATAAATTTAAATGCATTTACTTGTTTTACAGAGTAAATAAATATATGTTCAGTTATAATAGTATACACTACTATTGGTGTATACAGAAAAACTGCAAGCTTATCACAAAATTCAGTTCTATCTTACCTGGACTTGGGATAACGCACCTGCCTCCCCAGTTTTCTAACTTTATCTGTTTCTTCTGTTTTTCAATGTATTCAGAGACAAAAATGTTATGTCTGAAATTAAAAAACAAGAAGATTGGTATAACTTCAAAACATAGCAGAAATATAAGCTTATTTACTAGATATTCAGGAATAAAACCAACCTTATGAATAGCTTTCACACAGGAAATAATATTTCAGAATTGTTTTGCAACATATTTTACACACCAGCTAGGAAAATTTAATTTTAAAAAGCTTAAGGAAAAAATATCCCTCACAATAACCCGTGTTTTTAGAGACTTTCATTGTGGACTACAGTACATGAGGGTGCCATAACATCTTGGAGCAATACAGTGGTAGGAAAGGACTGTGAGAATAATTGTATTCTATTTTAATCCAGTCACAGTTTATGATTCTATGCCTTAACATTAATCTTTATAAATTCTCAACATTAAAATCTTTAAAATGCTTTTGTATGAAATCATGCTAAAAAGAATCATGTGTCTCTAACAATTATAAAACAGGTGATGACATTTTTATAATTTGAGACACAGTTTATTGAAAGCAAAATTGATTGGGGTTATTATAATTCCCCATTTGTTGCCAGTTTTACTTCTGGCAAAAAAACAGATAGGAAGAAGCCCTAGGAATCCAGCTATTTTACACATTGCTTGAGTGGCTTAATAGTTAAAGTGCTGGATTAGGATTTAAGAGACCTGGTTCAAAACTACCCTCAAGATACAGCATACTTTGGGCCAGTTGCTATCATTATGCTGTTGTGCTGAAGGAATCAAATTGGACAGGAAACACTACATATATTGCTTTCAGAAAAGAAACAGTTCCCATAGGAATAATCACAATTTACTGGTAATTAGGGTACAAATGATTATGGCAGGAGTGGGCAACTAGGGCAACTTTACAACCTGTGGACTTCAATTCCCCGAATTCCTGAGTCAGCATGGAATTCTGGGAGTTGAAGTCCACAGGTTGTAAAGTTGCCTTACCTGCCCACCAATGGATTATGGAGCTGGGAAGAAAAAGGTTTGCTAAAGATTGGATCATATTTTTGCTGAGCACTGTTCTCTCTTATTTTTCACAGAAACAGAAACTCTCAATTCACTTCAGTTATCTTTCTTCAGAGGTACCTTCCTCAATGTAATTTGCTAGTGTCAAACTATGTAGATAATTTCAAAATACCTTAATTTTATTTTCTAATGGCAAAATATAAATAATGACAGCATTAACAGAAAAAAGGATACTACGAAGAAAGAAAAACCTAGACGTATCATAGCGATTAAAATAAATATGAGAAAAACCTCATAGAAAAGGAATTCATAGAAAAAAGAGACAAAAAAACCACATTGTAATTACAGACAGCAATATAAAATTTAACAGCAATAGCACTTAGACCAGAGTTCCCCAACCTTTCTGTCTTTGAGGACAAGGGGCAGGGGAGGGATAGGGGATGGTTCTGTGCGAAACGCTTCCATGGTGCAATGATATCTGTAACACTGTCAAACATCCAGATACTGTATCTCCGGTAAGGACTCGATAGGTAGACAAAAGTGCCAAACCCACTCTGAACATCTGGCTGACTGGGCTAATAATAATAACAACAATAACAATAATAATAGTAGCAACAACAATAACAACAATAATAACAATAATCTTCCTGCAATAACACCGGCAGAACTACAAAAAAACTGCGCTACTCAGAACATCATATGTTTTAAGAAGATACTTGGTTGATACCTAGGACATTGGCAACAACCCGTATCAACCATTAGCACCAGTCACTGGTATTTATGATACATTTTTAAATGTTCAGTTGACTGAGTTGCATGTTTAATAAATAAAAGAGATAATGATAATAATAATATAGTACCAAGTTTTATAGTTGACAACAGAAAGAAGGAGGGGGAGTGAAACACAGTGTGAAATCGAAAGTACATGCCATTCATATTTTCTTCTAAGACTCATTAGATGGCTGAAGCTTCTGCAGAGAAAAAATCTAATTGGCGAGCATGATTGATGACACTTGGCTATGGACGTGTTTCGTTGGATGATACGCCCAGAGGGGCGGGGGGGAAAAGCAGGATCAAGGGTGACAGTGAATTACGTATCTCAGAGTTGGCTACGCCCAGATTAGTGCCGGATGTAGAATGTTACCTTCAAATAAATCCTCTTTAGTTTTGGGAGTGTGGCTCAAGGCTCATGATTTAATTGGAGTAACTGCCGGAACCCTGACAATATTCTCGTTTCAAAAGAATATAGATGTTAAAATAAAAAAGCCAATTATAGAATTGAAAATCGGATAGCTTAAAGTTAAACCATTATAGTCCTAAGAAAAATTTATGTGGTAGAAATGAATAACTTAACTTTATGGAAGTAAAGAGCCACTTCTTTATAGCCAAAGCAATAGAATCCTATTTATTAAGAAATTGGGGAAAAGAAATGAAGTGAGGTAAATAACAGGGGGATACAATCAAGATCAAGGGAAATACTAATACCACTCTATAAAGCCTTAGTACGACCACACCTAGAGTACTGCATCCAGTTTTGTTCACCACATTATAAAAAAAGATGTTGAGACTCTAGAAAAAGTACAGAGAAGAGCAACCAGGATGATTAGGGGACTGGAGGCTAAAACATACAATGAACGGTTGCAAGAACTGGGCTTGGGTAGTCTAGTAAAGAGAAGGACCAGGGGAGACATGATAGCGGTCTTTGAGGGGCTGCCACAGAGAGGTAAGGGGTCAAGCTATTTTCTAAAACGCCTGTAGGCCAGACAAGGAATAATGGATGGAAACTGAACAAGGAGAGATTGAACCTGGAAATAAGGAGAAACTTTCTGACAGTGAGAACAATCAACCAATAGAACAGCTTGCCTTTAGAAGTTGTGGGAGCGCCATCACTTGAGACTTTCAAGAAGAGATTGGACTGCCATTTGTCAGAAATGGTGTAGGGTCTCCCACTTGGGCAGGGGGTTGGACTAGATGACCTACAAGGTCCCTTCCAACTCTGATTATCTGTTAAATCTGTTAAATAGCTTTTTTTAAAAAAAAAAAATTCAGTATATGGGTAGTACTTATTTAATGACCTTGTTCAGCAACCATTAGGAACATAGGATCAGTTAAATCTGCCAAAAGCATTCATGCAAAATCTCAAATAAATTATGCATTCTGGTATTCAAGTGATATTACCCAGATGTCATAGGAGCAGAGGTGGTATTCAGCAGGTTCTGACCAGTTCTGGAGAACCAGTAGCAGAAATTTTGAATAGTTCAGAGAACCGGCAAATACCACCTCTGACTGGTCCTGCCCCCATCTATTCTCTGCCTCCCGAGTCCCAGCTGATCAGCTGGGTCTTCTTTTGTTGCCCTGCACAGGAGAACGGAGCTGGAAAGGAGGTTAGAGGGGTGAGGAGGGAATGGGATTTTGCAGTAACCTTCCTCCAGGAGTGGGGAGGGCATGGGAATTTTACAGTATTCTTCCCCTGCCACGCCCACCAAGCCATGCCCACCAAGCCACACCATGCCCACCACAGAACTGGTAGTAATAAATTTTGAATCCCACCACTGCATAGGAGGGATAGCAGAAAGAACAAATGTTAAGGATTGGTTGGTAACTGGCTGTGGGGAAAAAAAATCATTGTGTAGTATTTTGGTGCCTAGTTAAGTTTACCAACTCCAGGAAAAGACAGATATAGTGCCAACAAACCACAGATTTTATGACAACACTAATAGCTGGTGATTGCTTGAAAGATTTTTGAAGCTTTTGAGACAGTTCCAAAAAGTAGTGTAAAAATCAGAAGGTATTGATTGTCCCCATAATGTTGTGAGATGAGCTCAACATTAATTGCTATTGCAAGCAATCTTGACACATCCCTGGCTTTACTGATGGAGAGAAAGGCTAAAGACAGACAGTGTGGGGTAGTGGTTAAAGTATTGGCTGAGGAAGGGAGTGATTCAGGTTCAAATCTATCCTAACCACCAAAGCTTTTTGATTAACTTTGGGCCAGAGTTGTTATGTGAGTTAAACAGGAGACTGTGTGAATACCTTGGACACTTGAACAAACTGAGATATAAATCTAACAAATCACAGGAAATAAAAAAGATTATTTTAAGGCAGGACACATCATTTTAGAAACCTCATTATTTTTCTGCTTTGTGCTCCTCTAAGCTTCTGGAATTGTCTCATAGAAGCATGCTAGCAGAAGTTCCATTGCAGAAGTCCTAGCACAATAATGTTATATATTTATAAGAAGTCCCCTAATTTAGAAGCACTCCAACCAACTTTCTTGAAACTTTTGCTACAAGTTCCTTGTTCAGTTTCCAATGTTTTAACACAAGCATGGGCAAACATGGCAATTTTACAACCTGTGGACTTTAACTCCTAGAATTCCTGAGCCAGCCAGGGTCATAAAATTACCATAATTGCCTACCCCGTTCTAATATGACTAGGCTTTAGCTGCATTTTCCTTGGAATTTTTAAATTGGGAAATATCTTCTCACCTTGCTTACCTCACCAATCTCACCTTAGATTGTCTTCCAATCTAAGAACACAAATTAATGATGATTTGGCATAATGTGGTCTCACTCTGTCACAACACTACCTGCTTTGGGACTTTGATAAAACCCTGCTGAATTAAAGCAGAAGATTTAGGAGGTAGATATCCAAAACGTCATACTCCAGATTTCCCTTCCTTTTTTAAAATCACAATTGTTCTTCTTCCATGGACTATCCCCAAATATGTGTTTAACATCTTATATGCTCCATACTATTTACTTGGGACCCATTTGGGGTGCTGCTTATTAGCACAATAACTTAACAGATACATAAACTTCCCACATGAAAGCTACCTTTGTTTCTGTTGCGACTCAAAAGTAGAATCTATTTCATTATTAAAATGTCCATGCTACACCCAATAGTAATCAAGTTTAATATTTCCAAAGGTTAATAACACTAAATGCCATCATGACCAGGAGACCATTGTTGTTCTTCTGGGTAACCACCCTTCATAAACTTCTAAGAATATTGCAAAATTCTTAACAATAGCTGTACCTGTTAGAAACCATCTGGTTTCTTCCTCATGCTATTAATTGTTAGGTGCTCATTATTTTAGGATTTCCTCACAATTAAAAATAAAAGGTGGCTTCACAAAACAGTTCAACAAGTGTTGAAGTTAATGAAGCCTCCCGTTATGAAGCATGTAACTAAGATAGAGTAACTTGAGAAATTCTCCACAAGAAACGTAATAGCAGCATAATAAGAAGTCAGTGTCTGAGTTTGCCTTATTGGGTGACATAATACAGTATATAGAGAAACAAGTTTTTTTTAAATTTAATCAACCTTCTATTCAGGATATTTACTATTCATTTTGCCATTGCTACATATTCTCCAAGTTTGGTTTCCCAGTCTGATATTGTTGATAAGTGTCTCTTAACCAATGACTATGCCTCTATCTTGGAACTGGGAACTGTTTTATTGATCATAAACAAGTTATTAAATTTTATAGGATTATGCATATGTTTTCTTTATTAGGGATCTTAACTTCCATTCAGAATAGTTGCAGTAGAAATGATGAATGTACATTTCATAAGAAAGCCAGTTTGTTTACAAGCTTTGACTTAATTACAGCTTTTTATTGTAAAGATTCAGACAAACACTGCTCTTGGAAGTATGCAGTACCTTAACTTAGCCAAATATTTGCTTTTGCTGTGTGATCGGTACATGCATGTAAAACTATAATCTGTTTAGTTGCAGGTATGTCCTGAGCAGTCATTGGGGAACCTTGTTATTTGAGGGAAGGAAGATGGAAAGAATGAATTTTACAAAAGTCTGTTTTCAACCACAAGATGGCAGTGAAAGGTGGGCCTTTAACTATGTCGAAAAAATCAAAGCCATTTTTTTCTCAAGCTTCAATGCAATTAGTACCAAAAGTTGCATTATTTCAAAGAAAAGGCAGTTTTCTCAAACAAATTTAGCCTATTCTTGTCCTTTGCTATTTTTTTAAAAATTAAAAATGGGGGTGGGGGAGGAGACTGCTAATTTTTGAAATCCTTTCTGACACACATTATATTGTGTGGCACAACATAATGAAGCAATTATCAGATAGAAGAAACAAAGAACTTCTGTTGAGAGAAATAAAACGAGGAAGCTGTATCCAAGTAAAATTAACCCTTTCGAAAAAGGGAGTCTGTTCAAGAGAAAAATGAAGCAATTTTGCCCATTTGTTTTTATTTGATTGGAAGCCCAAATTAGATTTTCTTTGGTGTCTGCCAGTTTGTGGCAACATGGGTGAATAGCTACATGTGTATGAAATAACTGGCTGCAAACTTTTTAGTATACTCTAAAATAAATTGGCTATATTGTAGGGATTATTTAATATAATTTTTCAGCTTCAGTGATCAGTAATGCTACGATTTCCAGGCACACAGAAAATGTGACTTAGTGTAGATGCCTACTTCTTAGACTGTCTCCTTCTCATTCTTGAACTAGGTCCTGGCCGTCATTCCATCTTCCCCAATCTCAGGTACCACATTACATTTGTTTTCTGGAGACACTAAGGACACCTTCTCCTCTTAAATATACACAAATCCCCAGTGTAGGAATGTTGAGTAAGTGTGTATGAAAAGAGGAAACTTTATGAAGGGGAAGAAAGTTGCAACTCAGAGTATATACCCTCGCCCTTGAAAAGGTTGACCTAGGTTACTAATAGGTGTAGGCTGCAGGGAGTGTTACATGCCTGTTTTAAAAGATCTGCAGTGATTTCCAATCGTACTTTAAGATGTTAATATCAAAGTTCAATCCCCATTTCTGAATCCTAATTAGGAAGCCTGGATTGGCTCTCAAATTCAGGTTCATAATACATCTGAATATTTTATGTTTCATGAATTGATGTTAATAAATTTATTTTATTCTTCATAATATTTTCTGGAGTTTATATATGTATTTCCAGTATATGCTTCTGCTTACAGTAACTATAAAGTCATGATTTTCACAAAAAAGGCAGGTTCTGTGAAAGAATAATAATTTGAATCTGCATACCTTTTACTTAATACTGTTATTTATTTATTTGGGGGTTTTATATGGCTGCCCACTCACTCTCAGTGACTTTGGGCAGCATGCAAACAAACCCAATAACCCTCACCAGCCTGGCAACAACAAGCAATCAAACCAGCCAATCAATCAATCAATCATACCGTTATGCAGTAGTTTAAGAATCAGCAGAATTTGACGTTGCAACTAATGTTTAAAGGCATACATTTGGATTTTTTACTGATCATTTTTCACTTTGAAAATAAATCTATAACTAAATATCAAGAACTTAAGATGGATAAAATACTCATTAAACATATTTTCTACCATAGTAATAACATATATTATAATATATAATTATAATATTATATATATATATAATATATTATATATAATTATATATATAATTATATATATAATAAATAATTATAATATATAAATTATAATAACATGTGATTTTTCATCAGATACCTACAAAGTTTCATCCCAGCTGCCTCTGTTCACATTCTCTGCCATCCAGTGGTAACGGTTTCCTATGTACTCTGGATCTTCAAACACTGAAAGCAGAATTCCAAGTAAATTTCAAATCGGAACAGTCACATTCATAAAAAATGCTAACTTTCTAAAGCAACAAGCCTATGAATTCCTCAGTTCTTCCTGTATAGCATCCAACCTGAAGGAGTCTTATAATTCCCTTCAGTCAGCTATGGAAGGCCATAGATATAATATAATATAAACAATCTTAGTGCATATAAGTTAGTTTAATATGAGATTCAGACTGATACCACCAGCAAAGATAAGGCAGTTGAGTTGACCCATTAGGAAAAGGATCACTGATAACACAATCTTTCCTTGCAAATAAAGCATCAACCAATTCTTCATTTTGTAAGAGATAGCGAATAACAAGCATTGTTGCAAGTTAAAAATTGGAATGCACAGGAAACAAAATATCAGAGTGATGTATCAAAGCCATGGACAGAATGCTGCCCGAAAGCCAGGCAGTGAGGAGAGATCCAGTGGGGAACTAGCCTTGAATACTTGTGCAGTGGCAAGGTAAATTGACCCCACCTAAGTCCCATGGAACCTTATCTGTCTGTTCCCAAGGGAAGGCAAGCAGTCTGGGAAGATTTCCACAATAAGAAAGTCAGCTTTTTTTCACACGTGGATCTGGCTGCTTGTGCCCAATTGTCAATACATCACAACATCCTAAGTTCTTGGAAAGCACTTGATGTGAATACCAATACCAGCTAAACAACTGGCAGCTGTGATTTCACATTGATGTGTACATAATAATACTAAGGGTATAGAATTCCATATCCCCTTTTGCCTAGCTTGATGGTACAATGGAAATTCATTCTGAAAAGCTTTATGAGTATAGATACTTTATTTATATATTGGAACAACATTATATTTTAAATCACACTTAAGAGGTATTGTGGTTCTTTGTAGTAAATGTGTTTTTTGTAGTAAACGTAGACATCAAAAGCACAACAAACTTTACTAAGAAATTAGAAGACATTCCTTGTCTTCACAATTGTCACCTGGCCAATATTCAACAGGCATTTTATTAACTTACCATATTTTTCAGACTATAAGACGCACTCCGCCCCCCCAAAAGTGGGTGGAAAATGTATGTGCATCTTATAGAGTGAATATGGGCCAAACTCTCCATGCATCCTGTTTTTGCCCTTCCCGGTGTCCAGAAGCATTCTGCAGAACAAAAACATTTGGATGCCAGGGAGGGCAAAAACGGGATGTGTGGAGGCAAAAAAAAAAATATGTTTCCTTCTTTTGCTGCTCTAAACCTAGTCTTATGGTCCAGTGCATCTTATGGTCTGAAAAATACGGCAAATCGTTTAAAAACGTATCCTTCTAATATCTATTTATAAAAAATCCAAATTGTTTCACAATCCTATATGTACATAATCAGAATAGTCTGTTATCGTTCAACTTAATATATGTGTTGCTCATTTTAATTCCCTTTGTATAAGCCTTTGGGAAAGAGTCATAGCTGAATGGTAAAACACATGCTTGGAATAAGGAAGATCTTGAATCCGACTAAGAAGGCAGTTTTACTTGTGCATTAAAACTATACATATCCAGAGACCATGTGGGTGACTTAATGATGAGTTCAACTCTGACAAATCAGATGCAGCCCAACTTCATGTTACGGCAAGTTATATTAAGCAAATTTCACTTAACTCTGTTCAGAATAGCAACTCTCTCAAAGTATAATGCATGTTTGCTCCACGTATCCATCATCCATTATACCCATTATATAATAAAGTCTTTAACACACTACTGAAAATATAGTTAATCTAAAACAATGTAATTATAAGGTTTGTGCAGAGACCACCTAGGACGCGTCAAATCTAATGATTCAATGTTCTGAAAATAGCACATTCCATTTTAATTAGGATTGGAATAGTCCTTTCTGATTCTAGAATGTGATACAGAAAAGTCAAAACTTAAAGTTGCGAGAAGATTTTCTTTGTTATTTTTATTAAAAGCAAACAGACAAAGTCATCCCCTTGAAAGCATGGTTAGGGCAGGTGCTTTCTCTTGACACTTTAAGTAGAGTTTAGCTACTGTGATGTAGATGTGTCTGTGTCATTTTTCAGACTTTCTCTAGAATAGCAGTCTCAAACTTAGTGCCATGCTTTCTATGACTTCTAGTAAATTTTGTAGAGACTTAGGGTGTTGCACAGCAAATCTAAGACACAGAGTCCTGTGAAGAACATGGGAAGTACTTCACGGAGGGAAGCAGCCGAACTTGGTGAATCTTTCAACAAGAGTAGACTTGCAGGGTGGGACTACGTAGTTAGTCCTCCAAGGGTTTTGTAGTCCTGAGAAGTGCTGCCTTCTGAAAACAGTTGTCTGGTCTCAAGATCCAGGGCAGAGCACTGCTTCTGATTGTTCTCTTCACCTGGAGATAAGACCTACTGTAGCCAGGGAAGGAGTAGGTGGCTGGAGGAAGCAGACATGATTGCCCAATCATGAGCCTCTCTGCCAACCAAGGAGTGGGAATTGGTGGACAACAGCCTAAAGAACCGCCAACACTGACAGAGCAAGCCACTTGTATACAAACAGAGACCAAATTTCCACTCTCTTCTAGCACTGGTGATGTTACCTAGGTAATTAAATGTCTGTAAGAAACCACCAAACTCAGAGAACACCAAGGACCCCACATTGGGATGGTAAGCAGGTGAGTAAGGAAGATTTCCCTGCTAAGCAAAGGAAGGAAGATGGGACTATGCAAGAAAGAGTGAAGAAAAAGTGACCTAGAAATGACAAAAGGAAGGAAAAAAAGAAAGAAAAAAGAAAAATGCTGTTTCACAGCACTCCTTCACAAATAGCTGTGTTTCACGACAAGGATTTTTAATGTAATAAATGTATGTGTAATGGCATATCAGGAATCTTTTTCATTTTCTTATCATTTTGACTCACTAAAGCTTTTTATATCTGCATATGAAAAGGCTTCAGTGTTGCATTCCTCAGTTTATTGAACTAGTCCTTGTCACATTCATGATTATTTGAATTTGAGACCTCTGGAATATGCTGCCTTCTTTTTAAAACAACACTATTCTGCATTTGTCCATAAGGAAAAACACACACAAAGTCCCAATATATATATAGCAATACTTCTATCAGCAGCAACCAGAGCAATACAATTTTAAAGGTTTCCCCCCACACAAAAAAGATTTCTTTCTGAAAGTCCCTATGCACTGCAGCCTCCATACTGGGGCAGGGTGTCATCATCTGAAATATCCATTTGACTGGTGCAAAATCAGACTTGCTCTTTTTAATTTAAAGAAACCAAAACATCAGCTTACCTGGGTGTTTAAATTCTTCAGCAGGTTTTGATGTGGCAATTTTAAACCATGTTATAAAATATTCTTCATATGATATCGCTTTTGTCTTTCTAAAAATATACATTTGGAAGAAAGGACGATCTGTAATTAGCGTATGGAAATAGTTATGGGGCAGATATTTTTTTCTGCAGAACATTTCATCAAGAAGAAAGAACAGAGGATTAAAGGGTGAAACTGCTTCCAATTTCAGTATAAATGGAAGAAAAGCCAACATACTACAATGAACATAAAAAGTTTATACTCTCCTGTTAAAATGCCAGGTTTTTGAGATGTAAAAAACCCTAAAACTTTGTTGAAGCACCTTTTGGTTTTATAATAGCATTCAGTCTTTTGCGGTAGGAGCCCTATCAACATGGCTTGGGAATCTTTGCCCTCTTAAGATTAAAAAGGTGTTCTATTGGTCCTTGGGGTGCTCAGATCTGCGGGCATTATTTAGTTCATGCTGGATGTATTTTGTAAAAGAGATCTGCTAGTTGCAGGACTAGGTATGACAAACTAAAGGAGCCAACTATTTGATAAAGAAATCAAAGAGAACTGGGCTTATGCTTGTAATTGCTCCCTCCCTCTATGTGCATTACTGATTTCAACACACATCAATAAGATTCTGAAGAAGAAAATGTCAAGCATGCTATTGTATGAAATTGGAGCACAATCATCACATTATTCTTGCTTTGTTTGAAGTCCTTGCATTAATTTCTCTATCTTTTGCTGTTGCTGTCCTGTTCAATGTCAGCAGCAGCTCATCAAGGACTTTGCCTTTCTTCGAAACTGTGAGAAATTGTTCTGCTATGAACCCTTTGTTGGCCACTGACAGCAACACTGATTGGCACATTTTTTACTTTCCTAATGCCACCAGCATAAAGATGTTTGGTTTCTCAGACTATATACTATCTGACATATACAGATAGTCATCTTGATCTATCACTCATTCGCTGATCATTGAAAGTTTCGGTGGTGCTGAATGAAGGACTCACAACAGGTTGTCATAGATGTTGACATCGCAGTGTCCTCATGGTTGGTCACATGATTACCAATTTGCAAACTTCACTGCCAGTTTCCGACAAGTAAAGTCATTGGGGAAGCCAGAAGGAAATTGTAAATGTGACTGAGAACATAACTGCAGGACACTGCAACTGAATGGTATTCATCTAGTGATGACAACTGGAACTGCCACAACTGTGAATCAGCAGTCACAGGGCAATGCACTTTATGACTGGGTCACTTAGCAAGAAAGTTGCTGATCCCAGTTACCATTGTTAAACGAGGACTACCTGTATTTAACCCTGATGGTGAGATGGGCAACATATAAATTTAATAAATAAATTACATGATCAGTGTAGGACAGATTCTACAACAAAGACAAGATGTGTCTAGTTCTTCAAGATCTGCATCAGCATTTTACTTTTACTAGTAATTTTTCTGTGACAAAAAAAAAATCTACAGAAGTTATCTCTCAACGACTATATCTCCATATATACTAGATTACAACTTCCTTAATCCTAATTTGTTAAAGCTAGAGGTTGTACAGGTTATGATCTTATGAGAATCAAAGTTCAATATATCTGAAGATCAACAATTTGGCAACAGAAGTCTAAATGGATGAATATGTTATCAATTACAGCTTGTTTATAAGCGGGAGGATAATTCAGCAAGTCAGCAGGAATTGACTGTGAAGACAAATTAATAGGTGGTTCTATACTCTGCAAAAACAGCACTACATCAATTATAACATTTGCATATTGTGTTGGAACTTGTAAGCTATTGGTATATAATACAATGTTAGGAATGCCTAATTAGCCAGTTCTTTTGGTTAAACTTTTTTTGAAGAGTTTTGGAAAATGTATATAACAGTATTTTATAAAAATACTGCAGATACACTTGATGATATATTGATAATTATTGCCAACATTTTTATGGCATACACTATATAACAATGCTATATAGAAATGATACCATTCCTGTTGTTAGATATCAGGTTTGTTATTACATAACTCTGGAAAATTAGAATACATACTTTATTGGATCACTAATATTTAACTGTTCTATTTCAAAAACTAGCATAACATATAGCTTTAAAGAAGCACATAATATTGGGGTAAGTTAATTGAATATGATCACAGTACTTATATTAAAATGTGTTTCCTATTATATTATCTATTACTTTTTCAAATGAAACTGTAGATAATAATATTGAACATGCATATTTAATATGTTTATAGTTCTCCTTAAAATTAAGCTTGTAACCTATGTTTTAGTGTCTGACTTTCTTTTAAACGAAATGGTTTGCCATAGTTAGATGTATTTACATGTATGTAAATATGTGACTTATTCAAATTAAAATGTATTTTTGAAGGCTTCTTTGATTATTAGGAAGGCCAACTCTAAGTTACTGTTTGGGATCAGTAATATAAATTACATCTTGCCAATTCTCAAAACTGGATGCTGGCCCATTTCCATGCCTAAACAGTTTGAAGTCCAATATGTTCTTCTAGTTCATGCCCAGACTTTGTAGGCCTCATAAAATGTAATGCTTCATGTCTATTTTCCATATGATGCTAAACAGGCAAGACGAAGGAGAGACGAATTTTTTGGTGATGCCACACAGTGTTTCTCCAAGCAGAATTGCCTGATATCTTTCTGGAGCAATAGAAGATCTTGTATTGAGCATGTTTTTTTGTTCTGTTTGTGACTTTGTACTAAACAGTAATATAATTTTTTACTTCCAGATGAAATACTGCTTTTGAAAGCAAATATAAATTATTCAAGAGTTCAAATAATAATTTATAGCATTACAACATTTATGAGCTTAATGCTACGTTATTACCTGTGTGGGGTTGGTTCGGGTGATTTTTGGACAAACTTGACTGACGTATCCCAATCTTTGGCAATGGCTGGACAAGAGAAGAAGTTTTTAAAATGCCTGTTTGTTGTGAATATTTTACAATCCAATACTTTTATGCCATTAAAATAACAAATATTTAATTGAGCCTCATATAATTGCAATCAGAAGATTTGAGTGGTTTTATTACCAGTAATGAAAAGAATTGGCTCATAAGTAATCATAACTTGATTATGATTGAACCATTGCTAAGCGTAAGTCTTGGACTACCCACATACATGTGTATATATGTACACATTTTTCTCTCTTTCTACTGGCTGCCTGCTTTTACTGGACCAGAGTGGTAGATGTCAATGAGAAGTATTTCATCTTGCAGTGGATTGACTCAGAGTGATCATAATAATAATAATAAGAGCAACAATAACAAATATGTATGTATGCATGCCTTTGTCAATGGTGAAGCTCTGGTGTGAGATCCAATATCCCTTTGGAAGAAACTTTTATTAGACTCCTTTGCTCTACTTCTGAGTTTTGGCCACTACAATGGCTTGATTTAGCATAGCTTGAAGAAATGCCAGTTGCTGCAGCCTGTAACGGAATGGGACAACTCTCCACAGCCAATTCACCGTGGCCAACTCACCATGGAACAATTCAACAATTCAATGTAATTAGCTAAAATCATTTTAAAAATATTTTATTTTTTATCACTCACATTTCATTTTGTCCCTCCTTTGGTATCCTTTCTTTAATTATTCTATTCCACCATTTCTTCAATATTAATATAACTCTTGTTCCATGGCAAATTATCCTGCAAGGAGTTGGCCATGGTGAATTGATTGTGGCAAGTTTGCCATCGCAAGTTGGCCGTGGTGAGTTGTTCTAGACCTGCCTGCAATGTGCATCTTCTCCCTTTTAAGTTCAGCATCAGGACACTATATAACAATAAAGGGGTCTGCAAAACTGATAGCATAATCAGATGATGATTATGCATTCACGGCTCTCAGTTGGGGTTTTAATATAGTAAGAATAAAGAATTTTGCAGCCAAGCACCTTTACTTATTTTGAGTTTAGATTATAGTGAATTTTACTTTAAAAAAAACATATATAAAATATATAAACACACCATTTACTGCAAATGTAGACTGGGGATATGGAGGGAAATAGGGACTGGCAATTTTGTTTCATGCGCTGTGTTGTATATAGTGACAAGATGTTTTGTCAGAGGAGACAGACAGGACTCTGGAAAGAGTGTGAGGTGTTCTTTTTGCAGATTCCTTCTGATCTATTGGAAGAACACCACTGATTGACCTACTGTACTCTGTGTCCCAGTTAATGACATCAGCAGATGCAAAAATGATTGTCAGGCTGCCTCAAACTGCTTTGGAGACATTGAGGAGGAGAACTGTGATGGGTGGAAACACCCTGAGCCATATAGGCCTGAAAGGTTTGTATAGATGGAAGACTGTATAGATGGAACAAGATGACCTGATTGGAAATTTATAGTAGAATTGTTCAACTCAGCTGAAATGTGCTAGTTAAATAGTTTATTCCACAAAGCATGTAATTTTTGGGTGCGGTTGTAAAACCGCCATAAGAGGGAGCAGGAGAACCTGCTGGATTGCTGACAATGCTGGATTGATGGTTTGCTAACTGCGTGTTCCCTGCTTCTGAGTTTTTTGAACGTCGAAGGAAGAAAGGAGGTTTAACTTCTTTACTGCGAGGAGATATAATACTGGACTGATATTTGTAAATTTACTAACCTCTTTTTCGACACTGGACTTTGCAACTGAATAATCCCCGAATGGACTGAACTAGTGAATGATATATGGACTGTTTGACTATGCTAAAACTCTTACTGGAATAAACTATTTAACTAGCACAGTGTATCTGTTTTACTGAGTGTAAGCTACAAAAACGTTTATCTCACATATTTGCCTGCCTGCCTGACTGCCGTGCACATTCTGCTAGGGTGTATCCCTAACAAATACAATACAAATAGTTTCTTTTAAAACTCCCTGTTGTGCAGAAATAATTTTTAACAACATAAAGCACCAGCATTTATTACCTTCGAGTTGCTTGCTGTTTGTGACACACTGCACAACTTTTTCTCTGTAGAGGGGATAATTGTTTCTCAGCATTTGAGCTGCCTCCAGGTTCACGGCATTGTCCAGAACAGGATTAGACAACAAAACCTGCACGAAAATACACGCACACATCAATCCGCAAAGCTTTATTGATTACAAACTCTACTACAGCTACAGGTAGTCCTCGACTTGTGACCACAATAGGGGCCAAAATGTCCATTGCTAAGCAAGGCAGTTCTTCAGTGAGTTTTGCTCCAGTTATGGCTTTTTTTGCCACAGGTGTTAAGTGAATCTTGCTTTCCCCATTGATTTTGTTTGTCGGAAGCCAGCGGTGAGATTACAGAGGGTGATCGCCTGAGCCAGGAACAGTGCAATTGTCACAAATACATGCCAGTTGCCAAGCATTCAAAATTTGATCACGTGACCATGGGATACTGCAACGGTTGTCAGGTGTGTGAAAACTTTTCATCAGGCACTTTTTCCAGTGCTGTTGTAACTTCGAATGGTCACTAAATGAAAGTTTGTTAAGTTGAAGAATACCTGAAATTAAACACTATTTACAATAAATGGCTTTGTTGGGTTAGCCATGGCAGTTAGAAGGCATGAATCCTGCTTTGTGTCTTCATAGAATAGAAAACTTACAGAAGGTTGATACTTTCCCCCTCTACGCTAACCTTGGCTATATGGCAGACACAAATTATGAACACATGGGGAACATGGAGAAACCAGCATTTCTTCTTCAGAATAAAATACTGGACTTGCTGAAAATTTCCTTTACTATTTTGGAAGGAGGTTAATGTAAAAAAATATTTTAAAAGTCCACACATTCATTTCTGAAGGAAGGATGGAAATATTTGTAATAATTTCTTGAGTACCAGGAGGGAAGGAGACCATCCGTTTCCTTTTAGTTATGATTCAAAGCAGCTCAAAGAAAATTAAGTTTTTTTTTAATGCAATGGTAGTTCTTCATTATTTCACCAAGGAAAGTTGGAAACTCCCCCTTTCCTAACATATACCAAAGCAGATCCTAGAAGGGTAGGAGTTAAATTTATGCAACAATTTAAAGAACGTCTTTAACAATAGAAGACAATCCCCTGTAGTGCTATATTTATTACTCAAGAAAAGGATAGGGGAAAAAAAGCTGAAACAGCTGTGCCCATTGTTGGATGGACCTCCTTCAGAGCAACAACAAATATAATCTTCAAGATAGGAAAACATGGTATTAGAGATATCCTGCTATAATTTTATTTATTTATTACATTTATATGCCACCCATCTCGCTATCCAAAGCTATGGATGTGGGAACCTTGTGCCTTAACAAACATTCCCAAAATGTTTCTGTAGCTCTCTCATCAACAGAGGAAAGAGATATTTTCTTTGAGGAAGACTATCCCTAAGAGGACTTATGGTGAAAATAAAAGCACAATAGTGTGCAACATTTAATTAAATATCTTTCCTTTGACATGTATGGTAGAGATAGATGTTCCCTGAGATGAGCTTAACTTTATGAACATATCCGTGCTTTCTCTTTTTAAAATGAGTATATAAAAACAGCACAAATTTATAGGTAATAAATAAAGAAAAGAGAAGGGAAAGAAAAAGGAAGAAATCAAAGTCAAAGGAAAAAATGTAAGAAAGAAAAAAGGGCAAAGAAGGTGCTTCTAATATTTTTCATTGCAGTTATAAGTACAAATATATTTTAACCTCTCTCTAAAGTTACATCATGACTCTTCTTTTTCCTTTAATTAGAATTTAAAGAATTGCAAAGAGAGTATGTGCCCATGAAGGAAGAATGTTTTTTCCCTCCTCAGTCCTACTGGTTTGACAAACTGTAACTAGAACTGAGGGGAACCTCAAAAGCAGATTATGAAAAGACTACTGAAAACTTTTTAAGGAAAAAACTAACAATTTTACTGAATTAGTGCAAATGCCTTTTGTGTGCTTATGCTGCTAGTATTACAAAAATTAAGACTACTTCTCCCATAAAGAAAAGAAAATTAAGAAAAAAAATGTATCATTCTTTCTTACCTGGATAGTAAGTAGAATACTAGTCATTGTAAAGTTAGTGTTCCACTTGCTAAGGTTATCTAGAAAATCCACACAAGGTCTCCCAGATTCTGGATCAACTTGAATAAAAGACAAAAAGATTATTGTTTAAATTGGGGTTTTTCCTACTTAATATGCTAAACTCTGCATATTACTATACACATGCTGTAAAGAGTTATATAAGTTTTAGTCTCTATAACATGGGTGTCAAACTCAATCGTATCACATGATGTATTGTGATGTATCGCATAGGCTGCCAGTTTGACACCCCTGTTCTGTAAAAAAAGGTTTTACAAAATCTTAAAATTTAGCTGATGTATTTATTTATTCTCAATATTTTATATTATAAAAAGTTTGATTCAGTATTAATTTGATATGGTGCATTTACACAAAAGCAGGCAAAAACAAAATTATGAGAACAATATACAAACTACTAAGCACGATTATATATAGCTGTTATATTACTCTGGAAAACAATCCTTACGTGAAGCATCAAGTTGCTTTTGATCAGTTACTATATGAAGGACACTGTCCTTAATAACACCCTTACCATTGGGATGGAAAGGAATGGTGGTGAATGTGATGGTTGGAGGCATGGCATTGTAGTCTTCAAAATATTTCAGTGACAGTTGAAGTTCAGCACCTAGTATAATATATATAAATATATATGTATTATATGTATGCCAGATGGAGGGAGTCTGTAAATATGAACTTGCAAGTGGTCTTCGACTTAATTTTACATGACTCCCAAGTGAATCTCAAAAGCCTCTGGAAACAATCCATTTGGACTTCTAGAAAAAGTTATCTTTAACATATCTTGTAAGGGGGAAAAGATATAAAAAAATATGGTGTGCAAGTGAAAGGTAAGAGTTGGGCACCTACATTTGGCTCTGATTTCATTCACCACTTGCTTCACCTGTCTACTAAATGGCATGCACTCATTACAACAGTGTTTGTCAACCTCAACAACTTTTAGATCTGTGGACTTCAACTCCCAGAATTCTACCGTAGAATTCCTGAGGTAGAGAAACACTACATTAGAGAATGGTGGTTCTTGAAATTAAGATTGTCATCCTTGATTAAAAAAAGATCTATATACAGCCTAAAATAATGTGTATTTGTTGGAAGTGAATAGACTTTTCTTTAACAGTAAAGGGCATAGATTAAATTCTTACATAAACAACCTTTCATCTATATATATCTATTGTAATGCAAACAGAGGATGCATACATTTCAGTACCCATAATTCCATAAAACAACAAGGCTGCCTTCTTATTTTTATCTTTGCTACTTCCACTTTCAATATTTGATAGTTCAGTATTTCTATTATTTAAGTACACTACTCTATAACTTCAATTAGGGCTTTTTGCACTCTCTGATTCCAGGATTTGCATTTCTGATTTTTCCACAATTTATTTCTTGAAGAATTTGGAATTCTCAAAAGCTTTTTCAGAATGTTTTGCAGTCCCTAGCTGCCTGACCTGGATTTTTCAATCAATATATTTTATAGGGCATTTACCAAAAGGCTCTATAAATGGTAAATAATAATTCATCCATGCTGGTTAGGAGTGCAATACCACTGTACATTATAACATTTCTAGGAAAGAGTAGCACCTTCCCATAATGTATCCTTCAGCCCTTCAATTTCAGCTATCCATTCCATCCAATTGTCTTCCATAGGCATAACAGAAATGCCCTAAAGAAAGAAAAGATAACAAATGGGTTTGGCTTCAGTGATATAAAGTAAAACCACTCATGACAACTCTGTAGACACTAACAATAATACAAATGTGGTTTTCAAATGTCTCATATAACTTTCTAACTTTTCTGCCAGCCTTGAAACTTCCTTAAGGTTTGCAATGGATTCCGCTTGCAATTTTTCTAAGCAGTCTTCTGTTTCACAAGATCTTCCATTGTCCATTTCCTAATCAGATCTATTTCTATCCAGTACTCAAGCCCAAAACAATTTTGTCAGAGGCTGCATTTCTTGTTGATTGACTAATTCATGCTTAATGGATATCTCTTCTTCTTCTCCTCTTTCTGGTCCCAGATAAATGATTGTGCATTGATTCATATCGATTAATGCTAATGCTAATGCTATGTAGTACAAAATAAATGAAGACTTATATTATTTTCAAACAGAATTAAACTGAAATAGGACAACATATAAAAATCCCAAAAGTGTTATCTAACTAGCTACAAAATCCCCTGGGACAGGACTATTTTAACCTACTTCTGGGAATGTAATAAAGCTGGGCAGCATTCCAAAAACAACCCGTTTTGGAAGGGCTGTTTAGAATACTGGGCTCATGGAAAAATATCTCTGTATGGTCTCAGCTTTCTTAAGGTCAATGGTAGCGGGAGTCCAAAAGAATTTCTCCCAGAATGTTAATACAGGATGAATTGACTCTAGCTGAAGAAGATAGTCCTGAAAGTATCTCCAAGACATGTAGGGTTTATTTAGGTCAAGAGCCAAACCTTAATTTGAATCTGAAAACCTACTGGTGGTCACTATATGCCCCCAATAGAGAGGAGTATGCTTAGGAAGTTGGGACATGTTAACATTTCATATTGGTCATTCAATTAAAAATTAATTTCAAATGAACAACAGTTCCTCCTTAAAGCCAAACCACATGAACAGTGATTTGTTTAAACTTTAGGGGAACAGGTGAAGGAACTATCAGAGGAGGGAGGAAGGAGGGAAGGTGGGAGGAAGGGAGGGAGGGAGGGAGGGAGAGAAGGAAGGAAGGAAGGAAGGAAGGAAGGAAGGAAGGAAGGAAGGAAGGAAGGAAGGAAG